GAGAAGAACACAAACATCTCAGAGGAAGAAATTCTAGAAGCTAATAAATACATGAAAAAATGCTCCACAACACTAACCATTAGTGAAATGCAAATTAAAACAACACTGAGATACTATCTCACCCCAGAAAGAATGGCTATCATAAAGAAACCAACCAACAACAAATGTTGAGGAGGCTGTGGGGAAAAAAGAACTCTTCTCCACTGCTGGCGAGAATGTAGACTGGTGCAATCATTATGGATATCAGTGTGGAGTCACGTCACAAAACTAGGACTGTAAATGTCACTAAATCCAGCTATCCTCCCACTGGGAATTCTTCTAAAAGAAAAAACATCATCTCACAGTCCTATTTGTGAACTTATGTTTATAGCAGCACAATTTGTGATAGCCAAATCATAGTAGAAAACAAAATGCTTTTGTCAATGATTGGATGAGTCATAGCCATTGATTGAACAATTTGCCCTCTTTGAAAGTTTAGCATATCTATGACTGATAAAAAAATCTGTTCCATGTTGTATAAGGTGTTTGATATTCAGACACATAGTGTTTTCAAGCTCAACTTCCTATGTTATATGGTAATAATATCTTTAAGCTTCTCTTTTGGAGGGTTACTAAATTATGTTTGCTGTCCAAAAAGTTAGAGAAAAGGAGGGACTACAAGGGTAGCTAACATTTTGGCCCTAGCCCTTCAAATTCAATGAGGACTCAGGACATAAGAGAATTTATACTGTAATATCCTGTAACTCAGTGATGTCCCAAATATTCTGTTGAAGGAGACTATGGGGCCACAGAGGAATATGATCAATGATGTAGAGTGTGCCTAAAGAGAGTTACCAGGAAAGAAAACATTGTCTCAATCTTTCATAGACTGCAAATTGATCAAGCAATGTCTATCACTCATCCAGATGGCTGACACTGACAAACGATCTACAAACTACTATACAGGGTTTCATGGTAAATCCTGAGGTTGATTTGACTGACCTTCTAAGATAGTAAAGTTACATTTTTGGTTATATGTGTCTCTCTTTATCTTGGTCTTAACCATCCAACAGAAAAAATATAAACAGGTGGTATAAAAAGTAGTCATATTTATATGGAAGGCTGCATTCTCTTAAATGTAAAGACTTCAAATTTATCATTCTTTATACCTGAGTACTACTCTATTGTATGAAAATAGCACATCTTTTTCATACATTCCTCAGGTGAAGGGCATTCTGATTGTTTCCAAGGTTTGGCTATTACAAACTGTGTTGCAAAAACATAGGTGCTCATATATCACTATGATAGGGTGTTTTCAGTTCCTCCGGGATAATTCCCAGTAGGGGTATAGCTGGTTTGAATGGGATTTCCAGTCCTGGTGTTTTAAGGAGTCTCCACATTGATTTCCATGAAGATTACACCAGTCTATTCCCACAATGTATAGTGTGCCTGAAGACTCTATTCCCAGCCATTACTGACATATTCTTAAATATATATTCTCTAATAAATTTCAAAATTTCTATAAGTTCTGCTGCAATGGAGAGAAAATATTCTCTTAGGCTTTCACAGAGAGCAAATTGGTCAAGCAGTGGCTGTGCCTCATCCACATGACTGACACTGACAAAGGATCTACAAACTGCATTACAGGGTTTCAGGGTAAGTCCTGAGGGAATTTGTCTGATCTTGACAGAGGCAAAAGTTGCATTTCTTGCTAAACAGGTGTTCCTTTACGTTGGTCTTAACCATCCAGCAGAAAAGTATAAAAATGAGGTATAAAAATTAAAGCAATATTAATATGCTGAGCTGTAAAAGGCTCAAGTCAACAACTTCTTTTTTTAACAATTTCCGACATTGACTTACGGATGAACCACTAATATTATGGACTACTGGACTATATTGTAATATTTTGCTGAAATTACGCACCTAAAATATTTAAATGACTATGTAATATTCTTCTCCTTTGAAACTAAACAAAAAAAGGATATAAAGAAAGGACTATTTTGTATCTGTATGCACAATATAGTTAGAAGATAAACAACTACTTTCTCTTAATTCAATGAGAAGAAATATTTGTACTAATAGTGTTTGGACAAGATATCATATTTGAATCTTGTACTATGAATAACCACTATAAAGACAACAATATGCAATGTATTAATTATTGAAACTGTCCTACTAACCTGTTTTGAAACTGTGTCATTGCTATTTGCTTTTCTATAAAATTAATAAAAAAGTAATATAGTAAGCTGTAAAAGGCTCAAGTCAACAACTTCTGACATTACCAGTTCTATGGATAACCCACTAGTATTATGGACTATTGGACTATATTGGATTATTTTGCTGAATTCACACACGCACAATAATTTAATGGCAATGGAATACCCATCTCTGACAAAGCTAAGCACCAAAGGGGGATATAAATGAAGGACCACTTTGTTATTATTTTTATAAAATAGTTACGATAGATATACAGCTATTTTCTCTTAGTTCAATGAGTAAAAATATTTGAACTAATAGAGTTTAGATAAGATATCATATCTGCATCTTGCAGCATGAGTAACTACTACGAAGACCACAATATGCAATGTATAAATTATCGTAACTGTCCCAGTATCCTGTTTGAAACTGTATCATTCCTATTTCTTTCTCAACAAAATTAATTCTAAAAAAGGCCCTGTTCTTGCCAGGTATGCACTTGTGCCACTGAGCTCTATTCCCAGACATTATTGACATATTCTTAAATATATATTCTCTAATAAATTTCAAAATTTCTATAAGTTCTGCTGCAATAATCTCAGAAGGTTTGATTTGACCTTTTCACCCACTTTTTAAGCTTCTGATTTTCAAGTGTAATCATGGTCACATAGGGCTTCTCATTATAACCAGTTATAATTACTTCAGAGAAGCTTTAGACCAGCTTTAGTTCACAATCAATACCCATGAGATTAAAGAAAATCATGTAAGTAAGATTTAAACACATATTAGTTACTATTTTTCTGCTGGATAAACATAAACACTGTCATTTGGCAGTTAGCGTGTAGATTTCACAAGAGGTAATCAAAATGAGATGTTGCAATCCTTACAACATGTGGTTTATCATTAAATAAATGGTGTTATTGCAAAACCAGAGATAAAAATTATACTTCTTTTAAAAGTTAAAAGACTTTCTGGTGTTTAGCTTTGTAGCAAAAATTCATTCGAATTAATCTATTTTACCTTCAAATGAACTAATTATCCAAAGTTAACATGTATTTTAAAAGATATGAAGCTATACATAGTATTATCTTAAAATTAAAACAAAAAAATAGAGCAATATTTTAACTGTTGTACCAATTATTTGGGTACTTAGTACGTTTTAACATTTTGGCCCTCATTTACAGTTTATTTCCAAATAGTTTTCTATAAGATCATACACATTTTTTAATTGTAAATCAAGGGCTTTAGCCAGTGGGAAAACTTTTTAAAGAGTTGTAGCAGGCAAAAAAAATCTGTTCCTTAAGCAGTATATAGCTGGCATATTTTAAAAGAAACTATCTTCTACTATTTCCACCCATCTTTACAGATTATTCTAATCCACTTCTTATGTGGATTTATAAAAATATCTCTTCTGATCTTAAATTGTTAACTTTTCCAATTCACTGGACTCATAACACCTATGTACTTTATATTTAGTGGAGGATCCATCTAAAAATGTCAGTGCTTAGTGTAGATTATTAGATATTTGTGCATTCTGTCCACATACTGAAGTTAATCTTTGGTGATGAATTGACAATGGAATTTAAGTCACTTAGCTATAATAGTGAAGACACATGCCTAGATTTAAAATTCTCCAACTGAGTTCCGGACTTAGTGATTCCAAGACCTCCTAAGGTATTATAAATATAGAGAGCCACAAGGGAAACAACATCCAGAATAAAATCAATAGGTAGCATTAGTACATGATGCCACATGGTAGATGTTATGGCAAGTTATTCACATGAAGTCACCTCCAAGCAATCATGTGACAAAAGTATTAAGAGTTAACACCACATTGCATATAAGGAAAAAGACACTTAGAGAGGTAAAATAAATTTCTCAAGTTTACACAGCAATAGGAGCTCATTAAGGAATTCACTCCTGATCTTGTCTACTCAACTTGTACTTGACAATTTCCTGAAAGGAGGATTACTTGAAAAAATCAGGAGTGGACCAAATTCCAATAAATGATCATAATCTGTGTATCTCTGGACAATTACTGAATCTACTTAGGATTAGTGCTACCTTCTGTAAGATGAAAACACTGTATTTTAAGTCCCATAAGGTCACTGTGAACCCTCAATTATCATAAACTGTGACATCTCGCAAAGCTCTAATACTACACATAGAGAGAGCATTAAATCATGTGTGAGGAGTCTCAGATTTTTCACTACCTTTTTTATGATTAGGGACAATTCATTTAGCCCTGCAGATATTTTGTTCCTCTCTCCTCTTTCTTTGAATACCAGTACTTCAAAAAATGTGATTAAGCATGTAAATTAAAAGATCATACCACTATTTCAAAATTGTTTTATGACTCTGAAAACAAACATGAATTTAAAGAATTCTGCTGAAATAATTTGTCACTATTTCATTCTCTTTTCATTTAAAACATCTGTCTGTGATATTTTAAAGTAATACAATTTTTAGAAGATTAAACACAGAAAAAAAGACAATATGTAAGCACATCTCCAATTTTCCATTAGCACATGAGGAGTAAAGAATGTCCAAAGATACAATTCAGCATGAAGAAAGGAAGATGTGTACTTAGCTAATATATTACACCATTTTGTTGTGAAAAGAGCAGTGGAAAATTATCTGCATACCTTATCTCCTTTGCAGTTTGACAAAGTTAATTATTGAAATCTCCTAGAATTTCCAGTACACTATCCCTCATCTGTCTGTTTGTCCTGATTGATATATTACCTATTCTGGATCTGCTTCTCTTTTTTCGTGTAGAGATTAATAATTGATTATTTCACAACAGGGGTCTTAGTAAAAGGGGACTGTAACTTTAGGCTGTCATCTTGTACTGAGTAACTTGCCTGACAGAATTGCTGCAGGACTCCCTGGTGGAGCAATGAAGACAGTCTGTGTTCTCCTGCTTGCTGTAGCACTGAGCAATGCTTTAGAAAGAGGTAATGTCTCTCTTCCTGTAACAATTCATGAGAATTCTTATGACTGTAATTTTTTATTAAATCATAAAAAATGTACAAAAGTTTAAAAAAAGAGAAAGAATTGGAGAGCACGTTGGAAGAATGAAGGAAAAATAAGAGGAGTTAATTTGAGCTCAATTATACCATAAGATTATACATATCTTATTATGTAGTTTGTCAATTATTCCTGTTTTATAAATAAGACCTAAAAATGTATTAACTTTCAAAAGACAATACATTGGAGCTGGTTGATTCATCAGATAGCATTTTTCAGACTTCAAATCATTTCTCCAATTGAGAGGGCAATGTTCTATGACAATGATGCATAAGAGCAACTGAGAAATTTCCTTCTTCTTCCTCTTCCTCCTTGTCTTCTACCTATAGGAATCTTTTTAAATTTTTATTAATTTTATTGAAAATCAATAATTACATAGAATATTAAAAATTTTAGACAAATATTGAAATGTGAAAGATATAAGATATAGACAGAGTGAATTATAGAGAAATATTTATGAAGTGAATACTAGCATAAGATTAATAATAGATTGAACATTAGAAATAAATTATTTAAACTTAAATGAATATAACAATAAAAATTGTCCAAAATAAAAATGAAGAATTTAAAGATCAGTCATATGATAGTTCACTCTGTGCCAAAATCAAGAAACTTATATTCATATAATTAGAATCTCAAGGTAGAAAGGGGTAGGTGATGAATATTTAAAGATTTAAAATTTCTGAATTTAGTTGATCGTATAACACCACATTTCCAAGAGAAATGAACATTTTGCACAAGAAATTTGAATAAAATTATTCTGATGAGTTTTCATTTGAATGTGATCTATTTCTCTTCTTTAGTGGCTTTATTCTTTAGCAGCTACTATTCCTGTGCTGAATTTCTGGGATCTTGATTAGTATATGTATGGGTGTGGTTTTCATTAGGTTGATGTTATTTGGAGTTCTATATACTTCAGTAATCTGGATTTCTGAATGTTTCCCCATATTTGGAAAGTTTTCTACTATTACTCCCATCCATATTCTTTTTATAATATTTGTATAGACTCCTTGTTTCAGATTGATGCCTGTTAGTCTTATATTGTTCATCTTTGCATCGTCTTGTAAATATTAAATTATATTTTCCTGCATCCTAGTTGTTTGAAAGAGATATTAGCGGGATGGGGGAGATGGCTTAGTGGAATAAGCGCTTCCCTGGCAAGCGCAATGGCCTGAGTTCAATCCCTGGTTCTGGCAAAAAAACAAAAAAGTACACAGCATTGAATATTTTTGGGGGGCCTGCCCACTAGCTCAGTTGTTTAAGTGCCTGCTTAAACAAAGCAGTCAGAATCGAGATGCTCTGGTTCGAACCCAGATACTCACGGGAAAGCAGAAATGCCCTGATGGCATCTTCAGGCAGCCAAAAAATAAAAAACTTTCTGCCATTTTTAGGGGCCAGGGAGATGGCTCAGTGGAATAAGCGCCTCTCTGGCAAGTGCAAAGACCTGAGTTCAATACCTGGTAGAGAGAGAGAGAGAGAGAGAGAGAGAGAGAGAGAGAGAGAGAGAGAGAGATCTTTTATTTTTTACTAGCTGCAATGGTGTCTTTAAGGTCTGAAAGTCTATTTTCACTTTCATTCAAACTGTATTGTCAGCTTGTGATTGAGGTTTTAATTTCTTGTATATCACTGTGAATCTGCTTCATGCATTCTATTTCTTTCCTATGTTACTTATTCAAGGATTCCATCATTTTTACATTTTGCTCTTTTTTTTATCAGTATCTTCTTTAGAAGCACTTAGTACTTCTTTCTTCATAGTCATCATTTCTTTTTTAACTTCAGAAATTATTTCTGATCTGATTTCCTCTATACCTTTCTGCACTTGTTTCTCTACTTCCGATGCTATTATTTCAGAGATTTCAGCTGTGTGATTTTCAATTTCTTCTATGTTAGTGTCTCCTGCATTTGTTCTGGGTGGGCTCAGGACCCGAGAATGCATTTTCCTCCTTCTCTTTGTAATTTTGTATAGCACTGTCTTCTGACCTTTGGTGTAGCGTTACGTAGAGTTATTATTGCCTTAGCACCAGATCTGGATCTACCAATTTAAAATTCCTCCAGGATGGTGTGGCTTGGGTCTGGCATCTGTGCTCCACTTTTTCCTGCTACAGCCCTTAGAGGTTACCCCTCTGTGCCACTTACAAGATGTTCTGCTCCTGGATCAGCTAGGAGGTTCTTGCCTCTAGCCTATTTGCAGGGATTTCTGTTACAGGGTTCCACACCAGACCTGTACACTGGGCCTGGGATCTGTGTCAAATGAGGACACAGCGGGCCCCAGGCAGTCACACTCACATGCTGGGCCTGGGGTCTGGGTGGAATCAGGAATCTTACACATGCAGTATTTGAGTTTTGTTAGCATTCTTAAGGTTTTTTCTTTATTATTATTTTGGGGAATATTTGGAAATGCATTGTTTTTTAATTCATGCCACATAAATAAAATATTCTATAAATATGAAACATAACCATACAAAGTATAATTAGGTTATGTTTTGCATTGAAGCTGTTTTTCAAATAGTGTCTCATTTTTAGACCACATAAAGTGTGAGACAAAATGAGAAACAAAAAATAAAATGTTGTGCATAGGCCAAGTCCCAAGAAACCCTGGAAGATTACTCTTTTGACTCAGCTCTGACCCTGAAAATCCCTGTGAATGTCAACTTAGACCAGGACCTGCAAATGAAAAGACCCAGGAATGACTCAGTCTTGGAAATATACATAGGAGACAAGCCTAGGACATGAGCCACTGTTTTGAAGTTCTGACAGCAAGTAGACACTGACTATTTCACACTACTGAAGTCCCTGGAGTCCCAAATGAAATAGATGCAAAAAACTTCATTAGTTCTCTTATGATACTTAAACATAGTTTTCTTATCTAGATTTCATAAATCAGATGACATCCTTCTTAACTACCTGACCTGCTATGCACTACCTATTCATTCATTTTAACAAAAGTAGAATGCAAGTTTCAGGAACTAAGGACTTCATTTTTTAACTTCCCATTGTAGCTTCCTGTTTTAGACTACTACTTGACATATAGGGAGTGTCTAATAAATATTTGTGTAATGTCACCAAAGTACTAACCTTATAAGGTAGTTTTGAGTTTTAAAAAAAATTTCATGAGAGAAGCTTAATAATGGATGTCCTGAAACGAATAAACACTTTCTAAAAATTTATCATTGTTATTTTTAATATTCTCATCATATAAAACTTCCAGTACAGAGCACTGATACTAACATTTATTCTCTATAAATAAAATTATTAGCAAGTATTTTGTTTAAAAAAATGACAGCATATTTAAAATATTTTTAGTAACCTGACTTTATCCACACAGTACCATAATGAGCTTAGTGCTATCATCTCCACTTGACAGCTCAAGGAACAGCAAAAAAGTCTAGCCATAAGAGAACCAGAGATCTGGATCACTAACATGCTGCCACTTGTAAAACATACACTTTAAATTGATTTTTTGTAAACTATAAACATATATAAAACAAGAACAAGCAACTGCTAACATCACCTTAAATTGGTTTACTAGTGAATTTCATCTGCCTATTGTGTATATCCAAACCCTGTCATTGTTGCACTTGTGACCCCTAACAGCTTTGTCTACATTCCTGACACTGTAACGTCTGAATTTCTTACTCAGTCCTTTAGAGTCTTTTTTGACATTATTTGAGTTATTTTTATTTTCAACATTAAATCATTCCTATGTTCCATAATCTTTTGCTGTGAAATTGATCAGCTTTCAATAGAGTATTCTATGGCAGAAACCTCCATAGTATTCTGTGTTTATCAGTGAGTCTCTCTCCTTTCTCTCCTGAAGAGAACTAACTCTTAGAGTGTTAGTATTGCATTTCACATCCACTCCTGAAATTTAGATTTCCATACATGGCTCCAATCCAGACTTGTTTTGTAGTTCTCCTGGCCACTTTAATTGGCTCTCAAACCAGTCTCATAATTCTAACACCTCTGCAATCATTCATATAAATGAAAATATAACCTTGTTATAATTCAGTGAGTCCAAAAATGCTTTGGGCTCTTAGAAATTGGCTCACTGTTGTGAGACTAATGAAATGACAAGATTGAGTATGTGCAGCTGAGGGGGGAGATTCAGAGTCATAGCACCTGAAACAATCCAATCATAGCTCTGTCCTCTGTTGGGAGTTACTGCTCATAGATTGGCCCAAACTTAAATATGAATGGGCAAAACAAAAGGCCTCTACACAAGCTATGTTCCTCTTAATGCTGGGAAACTTATTTAATCTTATAATTCAATTTTATTAGTATACATTTGCAGTACGTAATATTTACACTACTTGTGTGGTGTTGGTACATGTACATATCACATGTATGGGAATCAATATGGAGATTCCTCAAAAACTATAACTAGAAATTTCATTTTATACAGTTAGCCCTATTCTAGGTATCTTCCTGAGAGGGTTGAATATACCCTATTATAATATTTTTTTAGTATTTTTCGGGTATTAATATGATATTTCATAATGGTTGTTGTAAGCTACAGACTCACCAACAGTTTAAAAAGTTCCATTTTCTCTTACAACTAACCTTTCATATCATCCATTCAAATAAGAGATAATATCTCTTTGTGGGTTTTACTTGTATTTCCCTGAGGATTAATAGATTGAGAATTTTTATGTACTCATTAGACATTTATGTATCTGTATTTGAAAAATATTCAGCTAAGTTATTTGCCTATTTTTCATTTGGCTATTTGTTTTCATACTATTGAGTTGTTTATTATATATTTTACCAAATATATGTTTTGAAAATGTTTTTCTCCACTCTGTGGAGGGTGTCCTCACTTTGTTAATTGCTTCCTTTGATGTGCAGGGTTTTTTTAACAAGATATAATTCTACTTACCTATTTTTTCTCTATGGATGCCTGTGTTTTCAAAGTCATAA